ACCCTTAACCTTAAAACCTTAAAACCTTAAACCCTAAACCCAGGGCCGGGCTGGCTTCGCAGGTACTGGCGCCGGGAGGAGAGAATGCTCTTCTCCACAGCCAGGATGGAGAAAGGGCCGCGCCCCAAGTTTAGGGTTTAGGGGTTTAGTTGGGGTTTAGGGTTTCAAGGGTTTAGGGTTTCAGGGTTTTTCAGGTTTTGAGGGTGTAGGGTTTTCGGGTTTTATGTGTTTAGGGCTTGAGGGTTTAGGGCTTGGGGTTTAGATAGCTAGAGCCAGAAACTAGTTCGTGGGATGGTTCTTCTGTCTGGTGCTTCGTAGGGAATGGGGGAATGGATCCCTGTGATAGTCCCTTAATTAATCCCTTATAGTAGTCCCTATAGCCCATTTCCCCCATTCCCTACCAAGTACCAGACCTTACCCTAAACCCCCAAAGTAGGTAGAATAATGGCCCTAAACTCTAAACCCTAAACCCTAAACCCCCAAAGTAGGTAGAATAATGGCCCTAAACCCTAAACCCTAAACCCTATACACCCTATAAACCCTATAAGCCCTACAAGCCCTAAACCCTAAGCACCAGACAATCTTGTCATGAAAGCATCGGACGACTGCTCGTGTGGAAAGCAAAGTCTTCGCTCGTTAGTCGGATTGAACCTGTGGTTCTGACACCACGGTTTAGGGTTTAGGGTTCAGGGTTTAGGATTTAGGGTTTAGGGACGGCTATTACAGTCAGACTACCACTATCCGTTATTCGCATGGTATGATTTCGTTGTTAGAGACTTGACTTGTCAGTTCTGGGATTCATTGACTGCTGCTACGGCTGCATGTGATGGTTTTGCTACTTCTCGCTCTCCACCGGCTGCTACTATAACGACACTGACTATGACAAACAGCAACAGGAGGGATCCTTAGGAGGACGGCGACTGTTACTGCTCCCACTACACTACAAGAATTGTTGGTACGCATCAAACCATAGCCACGACGGCGGCAGCAACGGTGCAACTACCCGATGGGACAAGTGAGCCGGAGTGCTCTTCACGTCCTTTTCTACACGCATATCCAACTTTTGCACTCAAACACCTCTGGGCGGCCGGGACCTATGCCAGGGCTGCAAGGGGATGGCCCACTCATATGGCTTTGTCTCGGGCTCCATCATAAACCCAAATCCTAAGCCTTGGCTTTAACTGCAGGAGGAGAAAGGGCCATCAAAGAGCAAGCCCTAAACCCAACCCTCCAAAACGACACCCTCAACCCTAAACCCTTCAGCCCAAACGCTAAATCGAATCTGAGGATCAATTTCGCAGCCTACGATGAGGTCGAGGTCGAGCGGCGGGGCGGCTTGGGTCAGGAGGCTGGGAGCATCAAACCTTGAAGTATTAAGCTCGAAGCACAGACAATGGACAGATCAAGGCGATCAACAATCATATGATTTTAGACTTTCACAATACTTGGAAGAATACTAATGCTAATTTACAAGCGTTGTTCATATTCATACGAATATTAGAATAGATACTAAATATTGTACCAATACTAACATTAGTTACACTGTTGATACTGTTCATAAGACTTATCCGAATACGAACGCGAATACTGATAGTATTAGCAATGACTAATACCAAAACAAATGATCATACTCATATTGATACTAAACTAATACTGGCACTAATGCCAATAGTAACACCAATACCAATACTAATTCTACCTCTAGTTCTACTGTTAAGACTAATACTAGTATCCATACTAGTCTAATACTAATACCAACACCGATGCTAAGACGAAGACTAAGGCAAACTAAGATTAGTAGTAAGTACTAATACTCACTTGAATATCATTATGAAAGTAACAACCATATTCATGCCAATGCGAAGACTGGTATTCTATAAGCAGGCTAATACGCACGCGAATACAGCGCCAAGACCAAGAGCAATACGAATATTGATAATGCCTTCAAACATCTCGACAGTCTGAAGTATAGCGAAGACGCACCGCTGGTAAACTGGCGCAGTGTTCAACTGCTCTATGCTGAGCAGCCATGCCTGCGCCCCTTGGAGCCTGACCTGAACCAGCCATCAGAGCCTCTAAACCCTACTTAGAGGCCCAGGGGACTTAGTAAGTCGGTTTTATGGGTAGGGTTATAATTGGGGTAACTCCGTTTCGGGTACTTAGAACTCTACTTAGAACCTACTTCCTAAGTTCCCTGACCCTCCAAGTAAACCCCAAGCCACCTTGATCCTAAGGCATAACCCTGCAAAACCCTGTGCCGTCCTGTGGCATTGACGATCCGAGGGTGAAGGTTTTGAGGGTTCCCTATCATCTTAGGAGCCCAATAGGTAAACTTTAAGTTTTCTCGGTATATTAAACCCCTACTCAAAGAGAAGTTTAGGCTTTTTTGGGCCAAGGTACTGGGCAGCTAAGTCATAAAGCTAGTCTTTCATGCCCCAAGGCCCTACTGGCCCTACTCTACGTATTCAGGCTCCCATCGTAGGGGCTTGGGGTTCCATTTTCGGTGTGTTTCGCTCCCACAAGGTTCAGTTATTGGGGTTACCGGGGTGGACGCAAGATACCTCAGACCCGAAACTAGAACTCGAAGCCCAAAGCCCCAAACCTAAAACCGAAATCCTGAAGCTTAAACCAAACACCCCAAATCGTACGATCTTGGTCGATCCGACGCGGCCGTTTCGGCCCAAGATGCTGGGGGAGATGTCACGGTTGCGCATACTGCAAGTTTGGGGTTTCGGGTTTAAGGTTTTGGGGTTTCGAGTTCAGGGTGCGCAAGGTATTCATGATAGGCAAGATCATGCCGCTTATCACGTGACGCATCGGCAATGCTATGGCTGGCATGCGTACTGCTGTGGGTGGGGCAGGCCTAGTCCCTGCTTGTAGTTGTAGGCCGCTCATGCTTATAACACGAGATCACCCGTTTACTTGAGAGTGGGGGGTTGGTATCCAAGCGAGCACAGGACCGAAGAACAGGTTTCATTCGGTGGTACCCGATGTAGCGAAACTCAGCCGCATGTACTGCAATCAGCAGCCTTGCATGTTATCCTGTGTCGCAGTATACGTAAGTACTGGAAGCGAGCTGTGCACTCAAGGCCAAACCCCAAGCCTCGGACCGCAAGCATGCAGTTCTTTAACACAATACGAAACAGTGCAGCATACTGCAAGATAACATACAAAACTGTAATACAACAGCAAAGTAACAGAGTAAGACACACTAATTTTGTTTATTCCAAACCTTCGACAGGCAGCCGGTGTCGAGAGTACATGTTGGGCAGCCAGCGACACTACGCCGCAATGTGCCTTTCAAGGGATGAAGGGAGTTTTGCAGCATCGGCCTCCGTCCAAACCAGGGACGGCCTGAAGATTTATTAGTAATTCGACCAATTGCCAGAATCGCTGCAACACTTACAGAAAACTGTTTTTTGACACGACCTCTTGACTTTCTTGTCTGCCAGCGTGCAGCAGCCGTACATTGTAGGATTTAGGATTTGCGGTTGTTGTCTGTTCAATACAAAACCCAGTTTGGGCCTTTGATATCGGCCGCATGTGCCGCCTGCATCAGGTTTTCGCCTCCTGCAAAGTCTGCCAGACTCGATCTTCCAAACTGTCTGAAGCCCGAGGCTGACGTAAGATGCTGTCCAGAAGTCGACGTCAATGATTGGGACGAAGACGTGACGTTCAACAACTTTTCGCCACTTGGCGTATGTACGCACGGCAGTTGCGTTGCATCTTTGCTGGATCATCTCTGCGTCAGTGTGCATTTTCTGGGAGGCTTGTTTCTGACGACTTGAATTTCTCCGTCTCCATTCAGATCCCGGCTGTGCCGGACTTCGCCTTAGTTCTCGTTGATAAACTTTTCTGACATGGCAATTTGGCGTGCAAGCACCTGCATGCGATCATGTAGGACCGTCTAGGCGGCAGTTCATTAATGCGCATGTGAATGCAGCAGTTGCTTCCGAGATCTCTTGTCGCAGTCAGTCTTGTCTTAGATAACTAACCCGGAGGGCGAAGCATCAACAATGGATTGGGGCCTTGACATCGATGATTTTGGGACCTGGATCAATGTGGAACTTTCAGTTGGAGAGTGGCTTCGATACGTCGAGACGAAATATTCTGGCTCTTTCATGGTGGGTAACATGACTGCCACTTGACAGAGGTTAAATGCAGAGAGGAATTATTCAGTTCCGTTTTCCGTAGCCGCAGCAGTCGAGGCTGCACAACTCAGGCCAATCCAATACAGAGTCCATTTGAAGGTTGTCCTTTACACGACAGCAAGCTATAGCCCGTAGCCGTGTTACTTCTGAAACACAAGTGCTCGGGAAAGCACAAGCCGCGAAAAATCGTGTGCGCTTGCAGCAGACTTTTCCATGCTGCTCCACATACGAAAAATAGGCAAGAATGCATACCCTGGGCGAGGAAGTGATCCCGCCAACTGGGCCTATTTGATTACCATGTACCACACTCGGATCTTGACCGCTGCCGCCTTGCAATGTGCCCTTACTCTTACTTTCAACTAAAGGCAGGGTGCGCTGACTGCGTGGGTCTGGCGTGCAGTACGCTCGCGCGCCATGAATGAAGCAAAGAAGTTCAAAGAGAGAGGCATACAAGCTTATCTCAACGGCAGGAAGACAGAGTGACACGGAGGCTGCAGGAGGAGATACAGGAAAAGATTGGCGGGTCTTGCTACCCATAGGCCCTAAAGTAGTTCATTTTTTGGGGTTCATATTTAGAATCCTATTGCGGAATCCCCAACAGGAACTACTTTAGGGCCTATGGGTAGTCACCTAGTTTCTGCTGAGCCGCCTGCATCTTGCCAGCGCCACCACTGCTTTGCAGGCGGCGTGCACCGCCTCCATGGTGCAGATATTGCCCTAACCCTCCAGGTACCTACTATGTAGGGCCCTAAGGGCTCTAGTACCCTATATAGTAGGTACCTGGGGGGTTAGGGATTGATGAACGAAGACGTTTCCTGCAGGTGCACGGGTATGACCACGCTACCCTCCAGAACAACTGGACAGCCTGCACCGGGCATTGCCTCCTGCGTTGTTGTCCGGTGACATCAGAAAATGCACACACCCCAAAAACGAATTAGTCTTCCACCGCCCTATCGAGCTACACTGCGAAACAGTCTTCGCTCAGAGTGCTCATGGGTTGAATCAGGAACGCACACACGCAAACATGTCGAACTGATTTACGGTGTGGAGTGTCGTTTCTTCCGACTGTGTGTAAGAGGGCTTTTGGAGGGGGATCTACCCATAGGCCCCATAGCAGTTCCTTTTTTGGGGCTCATGTAAAATCTTATAAGGTAATCCCCAAAACAACTACTATGGGGCCTATGGGTAAGCCCTAGACCGAAGGTGGGAGGTTGCTAAATGCCACTGAAGTCATTGTGAGATACAGGACTCTGTAATATAGGGGCCGTAATATCAATCTGAATAAGGTTTTGGAGGTTCCTTATTATATTTATAGTATAATGTACCCCCCAACCCTAGTCTAATTATTAAGGCCCCTACATTATGTTTGCTGGGTATTTCATCAGACCACGCGATCCGAGATGGAGATAGATGCAACACACCTGGACTTTGGAAGCGCGCAGACTCTGACGATTGTTCGCAGTGTCGATTCCGATAATTCGACGCACCGCGTGAGGTGGTACGGAGCCTTGGCAGTGCCAGTACGTGTTGCATCTTCAGACCGGTAATGAAGAAGCCAATTATCGGCTCCAGGATTCTATAAAGCTTCTACAATTCTTAAGTGGAAGGGTTGTTATGGCGATACTTCGCCACAACATATCACACACACACAAGGTGAGACAGCCAGTCGTGGTGGCGGCCAGGGTGATAAGCTCAGACCTCTTGGGGAGGCGACCTATCCACCTGGTTCCACCTCGTCTCCTGCGCCTTCTCCGGGCCCTAGCCCCTTGCCTTTAGCTTTCGGAGACTGGAACGCCTTCGCCAAAGCTGGGTTCTGGAGAGACTGCACGCTACGGACCTGGAGCACCGAGCGCTAAGTCCTCTACTGGTTTCGCGACCTTCTCGCGCACAGCCCCTCGGGCTTTGATTTGGGGCTCTTACTTCCAGAAGCTGCCAGCGTTGCAAAGAGTGTAAACACGCACACTCACGAGTACAGCTGGCACAGGCGGCAACGACATCATGTCGTCATTGCTTCAAAGGTTCAAGTTGGCATGGTCGCGGTATTGATAGCGAGAGTGAGTGCGAATTGAAGCGTGAACAGTAACGAACAGGATTCGGATCGTGAGGACGGCAAGCGTGATGCTCCGGGAAGTCGCCACCAAGTTACCATGGTCATGATACAACTTGTGAGGATGTTGATGAAGGAGAAGATGACGAGGAACAACTTTTTGCATGGTATTGATGATGGTGATGGTGTTCATGATGCCGACGACGATTGTCGATACGGTGGTGGTGATGGTTGCGATGATGTCAGTGATGCTGGTGGTGATGGTGAGGGCGAGATTTTTTGGGATGATGGGCATGACTGTGATGCTGATGATGATGATGGTGATGATGATGATGGCGTGACAATGGTGGTAATGTGCGTAATAAGTTCATATAGATGACGGCGACGACCTGAATCTTCTGCACCGCGATCATCCGTACCACCAGTGCAGTAAACAAAAAGAGTCATGATCACCAGCATCGACATCACCACTGCTATCACCATCGCAAACCTGCGTGTGAAGTGGAGCCAAGACAGATTACAGTATCGTTGCCGTAATCCTTGCAGCTCTTATCATCATCAGCATCAACAGGGTTCCTTGTGAGGCTAAGGGAGGAGGAGCACCGCAGCACCGCACGTGACAACCTTTGAGGATGCTGTGCTAAGTCCTTTTCAGGTGGTCTCACACAGGTGCTGTATCTTCATGGTCATCATCCTCGTCGTCGTCATCATCATGTCTACTGAACTGTTGTTCATGGCTACAATGAACCCGGCGAGGCAGGGACATCGGGCTCGGTGGGACCGGCTTGCCTCTGGAATCGGGTTTTGCGAAAGAGCGATCTCGAGGAGCCGCGTGCGTTCTCAGCAGCCATGCCTGTGTCATTTTGTGTTGTATTGTAATATCTTGTGCAATATTGTATGATTGTATGATACTGGTATTGTATTACGGTATACCCTTTTAAAAGGATCTTCGTTCATCCGGAAGGCAGGTGAACGTCGCAAACTCGAAGCAGAATCTGAGAGAGGAAGCCCCATGGTTTTGAAGTGAGCTGTTACATTGCACGCAGAGAGGCTGCAACGAGCTCGCGAGCTCGCTTCTATGCAGACCTATGTCAGATCTCATGACAGGGTACTTCTTCGAATTTCAGTCGGCGAGAAGTGGGCTTCGATTCTATGAATTATCGTTCTTCCAGTTCTGCAGTGCGAGCCTCAGTGAGTCACCGCTCGTGAATGTCGCGCCCGGTAGATCGAAACTCGCAAAGAGGGCGATGCTGCTTTCGGCTGGGCAGTGTACTGTGAGCATGACCGCTGTGAGAAAGCACTAGCACATAGATCATATACGTTTGCAAGCGCTTCCTACATGTTTCAGTACTGTCTGAGATTTGGATTTTGCTTTGTGCGGCTACGCTGCATGTACGGGGCCGCGTAGGTAGGCTAGCTAGCGCTTGCAGGTGGATGGTCGATCAATGATTACGCATTCCACCCTCATGCTGCGCTTTTGTGGGTAAATCACTCTGTGTCATGCTTCAAATGTCGCCTTTCCAATTCTTGTGCGAGTCGAGATACAATGTAGCGGTAGAAGCAGTGATCGACACAAGAACTTGAAGTCTGACAGTTGCACGCAAAGCCTGCCTCTACAATGACCCGAGTTGGAGTGTGGCAGAGCGAGCTGAGAGTAACACCTGTTCTTCGTATTCATACTATCCCCGAAGCCATGTGTACTGTGGCATGTTTGGACGGGTTCTACCGCACAGGGGAGCTAGTAATCCTGAGCAATAGAGTCTTCACCGAATGAGTTTCACTGCCGCTATGTTGCATTCGATAGATTGCCACCAGCAAGTTCGTCCCAAAGCCTCCCTTTGCACAGGACAAGCTCGCCAAAGACTGGTGCGAGGAGATCTCAAAGCGTGATGATGCGCGGCCCTGTGAGTCCGCCGCGAGCACCACGGCGACGAAGACAAGCACTTTGAGCTCCAGCTGGGCCACAAGCACGACCTCGAAGCTGCTCTGATGTTCATTTCTGTTGTGAAGACTCGTGAAAAGCTTTTGATGATATCGCGGCTGCACCCGCCAGCTCGTCCGATCCTTGCCAGTGGTTTAGGCTCGAGCCTAGAGCCGACGCCATGTGCTTACTGAACCGCTAGGCCGCTGAGAATGGCCGGCCCGGAAGCTTGGGAGGAGATCAGCTGCAACTTCTTGCAGGTGTCCCTGAAGTCGGAGCTCCAGGGCTTAGATGGGGGCTTAGATGGGGGCCCTCGCTTCTGGATCGCAGTTGCCTCGCAAGCTTTGACCCTTTGCTGCTTCGCTCTCTTCCTGCTGCTGGCGCCGATCCCAGGGAACCCAGGAAGACAGAAGGAGGGGCCCTAAACCCTAAACCCTAAACCCTAAACCCGAAACCCTAAACCCTAAACCCTAACAGAAGGAGGGGCTGCCACTACATGTCTTGATCCTCCTGGGGTTGACGACCGGCTTGGACTTCGTCTGTACCGACCAGTACCAGCCAAGCATGCCAAAGATCTCGAGGCAGTTCGGCGTGGATCCTGAAGCCGTCGGTTCCACCATCCAGGTCCATCTCATGAGCTGTGCACTGGCAATGCTCTGTGCTGGACATTGGGTTCGACAACGCGGCATGCGACAGATGATACTTTGGTGCCAGCTCTGATTCTTATGGATTTAGGGTTTAGGGTTTGAGGTTTAGGGCCTATTTAGGGCTTAGCGTTCAGGGCTTAGGTGCCAGCTCTTCCTGGCTTCCGGTGCGCTCGGCTGTGCTTTCGCACCTTCCTTCGGCTGGTTTGTGGTTGGACGCGTCTTGCAGGGCATCGCGGCATCGTCCAGTGTCGCAGTGTCAGCCATGCTGACTGCATCCTACAGTGATCTGGGCTTTGGAGTACCATACTTTAATACTTTTTTTGGGACCTGTTCCTTAAAGGAACCATGGTGAAATAAAAATCTATACGTTTTTCTCCCTGGTTACTTCAAAGCCCAGGTGATCGCGAGGAGCTGCGGCGAGCCTCGAACAAAGTGGCGTGCGTCGCGCTGATTGCACACATTGCAGGACCTGCGACAGGTGGGCTCATTGCCTGGGCCTTCGGCAGCTACGGCTGGCAAGTTTCATTTCTTGCCGTCTTTGGTCTCACAGTCCTCAACACTCTGGCGAACTACCTCCTCCTCCCCGATGTGCGAGTGGATGAGGAGCCTCAGAAGGCGATTCAACCGCAGCGAGATGGTGTGCTCAGACGACAGCTTTTGGTGCTGTTGGGGCTCAGCCTCCTGAGAGGGAGCTCCTACGTACCTCGGAGTTGCAGGGAGATGAGGGGGAGTCAGGGCTTCACTTCAGGGTTTGGGGGCTTAGGGCTTGAGGCTTAGGGTTTAGGGCCTACAGGGTTTGGGGCTTAGGTTTTAGGGTTAGGGCTTGGGGCCTTCTTGACTGAAGCCCAGCTTCTCGCTTTTTGAGGTCTTGATGTCCGTGAATGGCTTCATCTTCGAAGGCTACTTCCTGGGAGGCATCCGCCCGGCTTCTCGGCTCTTTCCTGATGTCTCCGACGGTTTTTCCCGAACGCGCCAGGTACCTACTATATAGGGTACTAGAGGTCCTAGGGCCCTATATAGTAGGTACCTGGAGGGTTAGGGTTTATTGGTGGTGGGATGAGGGTCCATACGGGTTCGAGCTCTAGGATTTGGTAGACACTGCTCTTCTCTTTTGATGCACATCGCTGCGTATCATGCCTATGGGGAAAGTGCATGAAAGTACCAAATGCTGACCAGTTTGTATAAACACGTTCTCATCCTTCTCTTGGCTGCATCTGCGCGACGACACCCGATGGTGTTGGCGACAGCGACGACGACGCTTGTGGCAGCGCAGCGAAAGCAGCCATGGTGCCGGATACAGCTAACACGTGATAATTTACTACCAGTTCGGATACGACAGTCACAGTTAGGGGTACAGTAGCCAGAGTCAGAAAAAGGAGCGCTCGCGGTCGTGGTGGTCGTCGCCGTTGTAGTAATAGGAGGAGGAGGGGTCAGTAGCAGCAGCAGCAGTAGCAGGAGCAGTAGCAGGAGCAGAAGCAAGAGCAGCAGCAGCAGCAGCAGCAGCAGCAGTAGGACAAGTCGTGGCCGCGGTCGAACTCCTCAGCGTACGCGCCAGCAATACTGATGCACGTATATTCTCAAAACCCCAAAATGTCACCCTAACCCCAAGCCCCTAAACCCATAAACCTCTGAAGCCCAAAAGGCCGCTTTGATGATGTCCATCTTGGTGGCCGCAAGAGCCTTTGGCATGTTGGCATCCACCACCTTGGGCTTCTCCCCTGTGGAGGCTTCCCCTGTGGGGGTCAGGGGAGTAGAGGTCGGAGTAATTTCTCCTAGTCTGTCCTTATGGTTCGGTTATAAGTAGACTGCCACATAAAGCAGAAAACCCCTCGTCGAATTGTCAAGGCTTCCTACCTGACGTGCGAGTCCAGAAGACGCTATCGAAGTCAGAACCTTCGCCTGTTAGACCCTAAAGCCTGGACTCTGTAGACTCAGACAACGGACCCCTCCTGAAATCCGGCCCTAAGAGAGGCCTTGAACCTCTTCTCACCGCTCTTGTTGCTTGCGGCCTGCTATGCCGCGGTGGTGGGCGCCTTCATGATCAGCGACAACCCTTTGACGTACATGTCGGGCCTGGCCTTACATCAGTTCCTGGCACATGGGCCGACCTGGGCCGTTCTGGCAGAAGCCCAAAAAGATCCTGAGCTTGATGATGCGGGCCTCCCGCCGCACATCTATGCTGCTATCATGAATGCGAGTGCCTGCATGCTCTCCTTGTTTGGGCTTTCCGCCATAAGTGGCGGCCCGTCGGCGGTCCTCTACGTCATCGCCATCATGTCGGCGACGTCACAGGCTTGCATCCGTGCCGGAAGTCTCTGGGCCGCTGCAAAGCAGCTCGCACAAACAGCTTTTGAAAGCACCTCGGACCCAAAGAAGCCTCCTCCGGATGATTGAGGGAACAAGCGGGACTTGGAGAAAAAGAGATCCGGTGCGATTACTTGCGGCATCAAGCACAGCCCTTCTCTTGGGGGCCTGGTTTTAGCGAGCCAAGGATAGGCCGATGTGGGACCGACGTGGGTGGCACCAACTATTGCTCCTTGGCAATCCTCCCATGGGACCTATCACACCAAATCCGCAACAAAGCCTCCGTAAGCCCGTAGTTGTGGAGGCGACGATTGGTGCAACACCGCCGGCAAGTGGGGCTGTGAAATTGCCACAGATTCTCAATATACCTGCGACTGTGATGGCTGCAATGGATGTGGAAGGCAAGGACAAACTCGCGGTCAAGCGATGCCAAGTGTATCTGAAGAGTGACACCAACAGCGGTCGGCAAACCAGATCGTCCTATATATATATATATGTGTATAGGTATTACTATATATTACTATATATATATATACACTGTTAGATGCTACTGTATGTTAGATTATACTCTATACTGTAGAGCAACTATGTTGTTTTATGGTGTGTGTGTGTGTGCAAAGCTGGCAGTCCAGATGCTGAGCACACAGTCACAGTGGAACCAAGGCCCCATCCTGCGCGCTCCAGATTGTTGTGTTACCCTAACCCTCCGGGTACCTACTATATAGGGCCCTAGGGGCTCTAGTACCCTATGTAGTAGGTACCTACTATATAGGGCCCTAGGGGCTCTAGTACCTCCTTGTGTGGTAGGTACCTACTATATATAGGGCCCTAGGGGCTCTAGTACCTTGTGTAGTAGGTACCTACTATATAGGGCCCTAGGGGCTCTAGTACCCTACATAGTACGTACCCACTATATAGGGCCCAAGGGGCTCTAGTACCCTATGTAATAGGTACGTACTATATAGGGCCCTAGGGGCTCTAGTAGCCTATATAGTTGGTACCTGGGGGGTTAGGGTTACATTCTATACAGGCCAAGGTGGCTTCACGCCTGCTAGATGTGAAGGCGGTCGAAGGCAGAGGTCTGCTTCAATAACATCAAATACTCCGTATTGCTTTTGGCATGCGTACGTCATGGGGTCTTGGGTGCAACAGATCTGTGTGTGTGAGAGAGAGAGGTGGAGAGGAGAGAGAGAGGGCCACAACCCTCCACCATAGCCCTGGCGAAAGAAAGAGAGAAAGAGAGAGAGAGAGAGAGAGAGAGAGAAGAGAGAGCGCGAGCCGTCGGCAAGAGTAAGCTGCATTCACCTACCTGACTGCAGTGCTGGAACCTCGTCCACTACGTTCGAAGTTACCTCCACAGATACCTCGACAGCTACCTCCACAGACAGCTCGACAGCTACCTCTACAGAAAGCTCCACAACGACCTTCACAGATAGCTCGACAGCTACCTCTACAGAAAGCTCCACAACGACCTTCACAGATAGCTCGACAGCTACCTCAACAACCACCTCCACAGCCTCGACAAGTACCTCCGCAAGCGCTTCAAGTACTTCAAGTGTCTCCACAAGCTCCTCCACAACCACTGGGTCCACGTCCTCGACCTCAATATCAACCTCCATTTCAATCAGCTCCACCACGACCGCGTCTCTGACGTCATCGTCCACGATTTCCACCTCATCATCGGCCACGCTCACATCCACTGAAACATGGACGTCCTCTTCGACAGCATCTTCATCCTCAACACTATCCAGCACAACAGGCACGCGTTTCCGCAGCAAGCCTTCATGCTCGTTTAAGGCCAGCGTCCATGGATGATAAGATTCCCAGCCCAAGGCCTTCATTGGGTCAGGGGTTGCAAAATGTTGCAGATTTGGCACTGTTGGGGTGCACAGTATCAGGTCAGATGCTGCTTGTTTCCTACCCTAAGGGTCCAAGTATCTAATAATCATATACTCTCCCAAACAGTTACCTACATAACTACTATCCGAAGCCTAAGTACCTGATTATTGGGTCCTTCGGACCCTTGGGGCTCTGAGTCGTCCGCCGGTGCGCTTCTTTGCTTTGCAGTGGTCTTGCTGCTGCTGTTGCCTCTGCTGCTCTTTCTTGCTGCTCTTTCTTGCTGCTTTTGCTGCAGGAACAGCGTCGTCCACAAGCACATCCGGCACAACAGTGACGTCAACGCGCACCACAACTTCAACCACAAGTTCGGCCACGGCAACGTCATCGTCTACGCAAAGCTCATCCGCAACCTCCTCCACAAGTGCAACAGTCAGCTCAACGAGCAGAACGCAGACGGGCACCAGCTCTACCAGCGCAACCTCAAGTGGCACCACGACCGCCACTTCGGTCACGTCGACGACGCTGTCAACTACCACGTTGAGCGTCAGAAGCTGAGAAGTTCATAAGTCTCAGAAGCTTTGGTGTAGAATGAAGCATCAGATCCGGCAGGATAATCTACTAGAATCAGTAGAGTCGCTAGAACATACTGTAGTGCATTGGTAATCTACTGTAATAATTTTACTGTAATGTACTATAATATACTATACTGTATTATAGTTCAAGTGACACAGTCTACTAGCCTTCTAGCTGAGGCCACAACGGTCGATGTCTCGGCCGCTCAGAAGCACGGTGTCTTCTTGCTAGATATGAAGGAAAGCGCGACAGGCAGAGATGAGTGAGGGTTTGGGCTTCAGGGCGTTTAGGGAGGGTTTAGGCTTCAGGGTTTGGGCTATGGGGAGGGCTTAGGGTCTACCTTAATCCCAAAAAATAGCCTGCCTTTGTGTAAAGAAAGCATAGCAAGAAGCCCTGAAAAGGGTAGAGTCTTAGAGGGTCCAGGTAGAGAAACCCTAAACCCTAAACCCTCAACCCTAAACCCTAAGGGCTTCTGATCTGCAGGGAGGGAACTGGGAATCACTCAGGCTCTGGCGGATGCTGGGGCAGGGCACTCAGGGCCTCCAATCGACCGTGCGAGCGTTTCGAAGCCCAGAAGTGGACTGAAAGCGATGATAAAACATATAATGCACACTGATATAATATATAGTGTACTACATTGGTACATTCTATTCTAAATTAAAAGAGTACCCGACTCCCTACGCCCTCAAACCCCAAAGTTCCTCTCAGAGTTTGCACTTGCATCTGAAGCATTTCGAGCTCTAGGCCTGTCTATAAGGCCCTACAGCTCGAAATGCTCGAGACACAACCCTAAAGCCTAAACCCTAAACCCTCAACCCTAAACCCTAACCCTATATAAAGCCTAAACCCTAAACCCTAAGCCCAAGCCTAAACCCTAAACCCTATATAAAGCCTAAACCCTAAACCCTATATAAAGCCTAAACCCCGAAACCCGAAACCCTATATTAACCCTCAACCCTCAACCCGAAACCCCAAGTCCAAAGTCGAGGTCAATGCCTCTTTGGCCGCTGCGGCTTCGGCTTTGGACGGTTTGGCAGAGGAGAAGAAAGCTGTGGCCAAGAACTTGCTTCCCGGTTGGGTTTAGGGTTTATAGGGTTTATAGGGTTTAGGATTTAGGGTTTATAGGGTTTATAGGGTTTATAGGGTTTATAGGGTTTATAGGGTTTATAGTGCTTATAGGGTTTATAGGGTTTAGGGGTTTAGGTGTTTAGGGGTTTAGGGTTTAGGGTTGAAGAAAAGAATCGGTAGACAGAGAGAGCCGGCGATAGATGGAGTATAGCTGGATGAGTCGGTAGATAGCCACTCAGATGAAGAGGCAAAGACGCACAGGGACTTGCAGCCAGGAAAAGCCGCGAGACCGTCAAACAAATGTGGGCAGCGTGTGTGTGTTCTTGCGCAGGCTTTCCGCGAATGTTTCATCGGTTGAGTCCTATGAGCGCGTCAGTTCCTTCCTTGTGATCGTCTTACCTAGGCTCACCCCTGAACCCGAAACCCTGAAAATGAAGCCCCCTAAACCCTAAACCCTAAAAGCCCTAAAAATGAAGCCCCCTAAACCCTAAACCCTGAACCCTAAACCCTAAACCCTATAAGCCCTAAAAATGAAGACCTTCAGCCCACCAAGCCTCGAAGCTCGCCTAGGCTTGCCTCTGCTGCAGAGCTCCTCTCCAATGCGAGTGTGCCTGTTGTGGAGCAGGAAGTGGTAACCTCCAGCGGAGCTACACGGCTGAGTATGATGAAACCCTAAGGTCCGCAGTGCTGACGGTATGATGACTGCCATTCACCATTTAATCGTATTAATGTGCCATTATATACCTGTTATTACTACAAGCTGTAAGCATTCGATAAACTAATGATCTGGTTCTGGTGATTGTCGCCGTGATTGGAGTTTCGCTGCTGGCATCATTTGGTTGGTATAATATAGGGGCCTAAATAAGTACCAATACTATGTTGGGGGTTCCTTATTATAATTCTACTATGAAGGACCCCAAAACCCTATTCCAATTATTAAGGCCACGATATTGGTCCTATCGTCATAGCAACTGTCCTGGTTTGATTGTGCGTGTGTTTCTGGTTGGTGTTATGATTGTGATGCAGCTGTTGTTTGCGGCACTTGCCGCTGCTAGTCTTCTTATAACAGGATATATATATATATATATCGAGTTATAGTATGTTATCACAAGCCTATTATATAATGAAGTATTTGTCATGTTTTCGTATAATATGCGTATCTACAGTATGTTATAGTATACTAATATTATCGTAAATTATAGTATATCCTTAGTACATTACTGTCGAATTTTTGTATGATAACATATTATCGTATATTATAGTATACTGCAGGCAAAAACCCTAAACCCTGAACCCTAATTGCCAATTGAGGCCGTCATGAAAGTCGCTGTCTTTCAGCCGTCGGGCAACAGCACCGAAGATGTTGCCGTGTCAGGCGAAGGTGCGGACAGCCGGCTGCGCTGTTTCAGTAGTCAAAGATCGTAATCGTGATGCTAGGCCCTTGCTAGGTGCATAGGTGTACGTGTGCGTTATTTCATGCAAATATGCACTTGCACATACAGACGCACACGCAGACATTACAGATACATACTCATGCACATGTACATGCAGGTGTATATGTACCTGCACAAACAGACATGCATACATGCCTACATAAGTACATCACATACACTCTTACATGCATGCATGCAAGCATGGATACATATACATACGAACATACGGAAAAGACGTGCACAGGTACATGCATACGTACCGACATACGTACACACGCAACATACGTACACCCGCACATATACACAATTACTTTGGCGTGAAGCCTGCATGCCAGCGCTGCGAGGCAGACACCTCGTGTGTGTGTATATATATATATATATATTATACACACATTATTGTAGGTAATTACACTTACGTAAACATACATACATGCATGCGTGCATACATACCTGCATACACACAAACAAGCTTACATACATACGTACATACATACATACATACATACATACATACATACATACATACATGCATACAGGCCTGCATAATACATACATGCGTTCATACACAGACACACACATACGCACCTGCAACACAAATTCATACATGCATCCATGCACACATACATACATACATACATACATACATACATACATACATACAACCATGCGTGCACGCATGCATACATATGTATGCATGCATGCATACATGTGTACACACATGCATTCTTACATCCATGCATGCATGCATGCAT